TGCTTGGTTCAGTTTTTTGTTAATGAGGCAACAAAACTTGCATGTTTGAGCTGAAACTACCCATAAAACAGGCGCCATTACGGACCAAGACATATGCGACAAAAAAAAATTGATGTTTATGCCTTGAAGCACAAAAACATATTTGTGGCCACATACTGGAAAGTGCCGTAGAGGGAGACTGACTTCCTTACACGACAACTTTCAAGGAAGACTCGACAATCTGACTTGAAAGTTAAGAAACCTTTGAAAGTATCGACCTTAAATAAAAAAAAAAAAAAAAACTGAAGAATTATTAATAATTTTTTCGAGAGTTTTAGAAAAGGAATCGAAGCGTTGTTCATGAATTTTAAAAATGTGTCATATTGAAAATTTTGAAAAATGTTTAAAAGTATATAATGGGTGGAAATCTTTGAGTTCTTTAAGTATCAGAGGTATGAAAATCTTGGAGGTTAAAATAATTTTTCTTTTTTTACTTTGTTAAATCTTTATACTTTTCTATGAAAACTCGTCACCGGTAATTCTTACTTAACACTACTAAACGAATCCCAACCCCATTTTGTTTCTCTGGAAGTATAAGTACACAGCAATTGGAAGGGATCTGGGAGGAGGACGGGCCATATTCGACATAAAAGTCGATGCTCAAATCAACTCTTAAAATTTAATACCTTTTCAAGGTTGTCCACCTCAAGTGACGGTCGAACAGCGTAGAGCCTTATGGTTAGGGTCGGACTTGTCCACTGGCTGAGCCACACCTCCACTCCCACGTGGAGGACGGCATCCATCTTCACTCCAACGCGGAGCGTGGCATCCATCTCCACTTCGTACGGAGGCTGACGGGGAAGATAACTCCAGCGTACTAGCCAATGGCCTCGGCGCCCCTAGTCAGGAGCCTCGGCGCCCTAGTCGGGGGCCTCGATGTCAGTTTGTTGGGTTGTCCGTCTTCCAGTTCGAGGGTGGAAGACTCGGAGCTCTAGCCTCACCAAAACTTTGTAGGGTGACAGATAGTCGTTCAAGGAGGATCATAGGTAACCATAGGTGGGTCGGGATCTACCCACATACCCCTCAATCCCCCCTCTCCCCAACCATTAATAGCTAATGCTTTAAATTTCTAATCTAACTAAATTCCAACTAAATTCATCCTCACTAAGATTCGTCAAGCCTATTTTTTTATACATAATTAAATGTTGATTTCTCTTACGTAGTCTGTTTACTGATGAAGACTGTGTGTGTATTGGAGATACTGAAGGAAAGGCAACGAGGCAGGGATCTGGAACACGACGCTGCCCTGGATTAAGGAAGGAGAAATCAGGATCATAGGTGAAGGTCTCTGGCATAATAGAATCTTGCAGTCGACATCAACAAGTACAAGGAGGAGCCACCACTGTAGACGTAGCTTGTGTCAAGAGGGAGAACAGCACCGTTGAATCCGCAACCCCCTACAACAGGGAGTTAACGTCGAAGTCGGGACATTGCTTTGTCATAAGTGGCTCCCTTCGCCCGGTATATACCGCACCGGAAGACGTCCTTGAAGTCTCAAGAATATAATCCGGGTTCCCTGTCAAGAAAAGGGTCTCTGCATACATTTCACGCACCAGTAAGGCTCCCTCATGACCTCACCCGGGGATTAAGGGGTTGCCCCCCCCCCCCCCTCCGGTCACGTTGGCAGGTTGGAGCCACTGAGAGACACCTCTATCTCCCATCACAACCCAACACCTCACTTTCACTTCTCCCGACGGTGACGCAGAAGGAAATTGTAAACTACCATAGAAATACACTAAAAAAATCCTTGGAAATTCATTATAAACAACCATGGAAATACACTATAAACGACGTGAAGAGATATATCTTGAGATGATTTCGGGGCTTTAGTGTCCCCGCGACCCGGTCCTCGACCAGGCCTCCACCCCCAGGAAGCAGCCCGTGACAGCTGACTAACTCCCAGGTACCTATTTACTGCTAGGTAACAGTGGCATCAGGGTGAAAGAAACTCTGCCCATCGTTTCTTGCCGGCGCCCGGGATCGAATCCTGGACCACCAGATCACGCGTCCAGTGTTCTGTCCGCTCAGCCACCGGCTCCCATATAGGCGAGATAAGCAACAAGCTCTTTACATCCTGTTAACAAACACCAATTTAAGGCCTACCTGCCACATTCCTCTCAATATGTTTCATCACTCTTTCTCATACCGAAAGGATAAGTCGAAAAATGACACCGAGATGTCGTAGTCGACTGGAGAGAGTATTGATGGTGTAAATGAGGTGAGGAGGACGGGATGTGGAACACGGCGCTGCCCAGGACTAAGGCAGGAGAAATCGGGATCAGGGATGGAGGTCCCTGGCGTAATGGACTCCTCCACTTGACATCAACGTATATAGTAAGAAGTTACCAGTTTAGCTTTGGCCTGTGTGAGGGCGGAAAACAGCAGCGAACCCTTTTTACCCGCACTCACAAGGAGTTAACATCGAAGTCGTGGGGCATTACGTCGACTTAAGTGGCTCCTTCGCGCAGTATACCACACCGGGAGACTTCCCTGATATCTCTCGAAAACATACCGGTTCTCATGGAAAGAAAACAAAAAGAGGCTTCGCAAATATTTTGCGTACCAGTAACGCTCCCTCATGACCTGTCCGTTGGTGGAGGAAGATTGACCTACGTCTCAATGGCAGGTTGGAGGTACTGAGAGACATCTCTGGCCTCTCCACTCCCTATCTCCCCACTTTCATTTTTCTCGACGGTGACGTTGAACAGAAAATCTACGAATGATATCTGTACTGGCTCCTGTTGGTCTTGCTTCTGATAGTACAGTCACAGGCTTCTGTTGGTGATGCTTCTGATGGTTGTGCTGAGGCCTCTTGATGGTCCTCCGTTCGGCAGTAGTATTGCAAGCTCTTATTGGTTGCTGTAAGCTCTTGTTGCTGCTGGTGCTGTGGTCTATGATATGCACTCGACCGCAAACAGTTAAATTATTATGGAATTGATATATTTAGCAATGAATATATTTTTAACAAAATAAGGGTCAAGAACACACAATTCCAAATTAACCTTTAACCGAGAGGAAACTTTTGGGGAAATGTCACTGTTAAACATTTCTGCCACATCACAACAGTGGCAGAATTTTGGATGGTCACCAGAGGGTGATAGCTGAGGTCTCAGTCACTCCTAACTGGCTCGAGGAGGAGGTAGTGAGGACAACAACAACTGGAACTAGCACAAGTATATAGCAGTTGAGGTCAAAATAGTTCGATCTGGCCCATTAGACGGGATTGGGGGATTACATCCACTGGATCTGACTCATTAGACGGCATTGGGGGATTACAAACCATTGGATCTGGCTCATTAGGCGGCATTGCGGGCCAAAATCACTAGAGTTGGAACCAGCAGGAGAGAGAGTTTGGGGGCTATAACCACTGAACTTGAGTCTAGGAGGAGTCAGTAAAGACCAGAACCAGAACCTTATTTCCGATCTTTTTGTTTAGTCGACAAGTTTTATATATAAATTCAATACAGTCGGTTCTGACATTTTACCCGGATATTACACCCAGATATTATACAATATCTTACTTAATAAAGTATAGAAAATAAGGAAAAAATACAAAATATCTATTCACTTTCTCCTTACCTAGAAGACACATATTAGTTCCACTTCATGGCTTGAAGCTCGCGCCATATGCAGCTAAATTACAGACAGTGATCAATGGCGTAATTTGCGTTTTTGCGTATTAATTACAGGTGTCGGTTTGCGATAATTCAAAGATACAAATTTGCAATATAATTATAGTCGCTTGATAATTAGAATCCTTGGAGAGGAGTTTACCGATCATTAGCGGAAGGTATGAAGAGTTCCTGATAATTAGCCCCAATTAGCACATGATGAACTGTAGGGGAGGTCCGAGTCTTGAACGCCTCGCTAACACAAGTTATTGGGAATTACTGGAATTATTCACGAGGTTGTAATGATCTCCTATTTAGTTTACGACAGTGAGATAATTCCAGGAACAGGGATTCAATCACAATGTCGAGCAGCAACAAAACTCAACCCACACGTAATGAAAGAGATGGCATCCCGGTACTTCTTGGACCCGTATCAATTCATGATTCCAGGTCTCATGTGCAGGTGCATTCCTGATCTCTCCTGAACAGTAACACGAATCATTCTCAGTCTCCGCTAACCATTTGAACAGTTCCCGTTGGCTATAGAAAGACGCTTCAATAGAACACATCTCCTGTGCCAGTAAGTCCTCTACCGGCTCACCGTAACCCGTGCTGTTTGGAACTTTTTTTGTTCCGAATAGCTGAATCTAAAACAACAACAAATAGCTTCAATGGATATCTATACTGGTGAACAGGGAAGGAAAGGGGAGGGGGGTTGTCTACTAGATAAGGATGACTTTATAGACAATTCAAAACATATTCGCTCAAAGTCTTCGTAAAATTTGATTATTTAAAGGATATCATCTTGGAACATTTCTACAGAATTGGTTGTGTTAGTTAAATATATATTCAGATCTAAATGGTTGAACTTGTGCCTAGTTTTAAATGGATGAACTTATATACAGTTCTTAATAGTAGAACTTATGTCCAGTTTCAGAGGGTTGAACTTATGCCCAGTTCTATTTATTTGAACTTTTGCTCTGTCATCACCATCTGGTGATGACAGATCTGACCTCTCAATTCATCTCACAGTCAATTTGGAGGCTATCAGTTGCAACGTCCAAACAGAATGGCTTCACTGGAATTTAAGAATTAACATCAGGTTCTATAGCTCAGGTGAGGTCGTATAGGTTCGTACGCTAATGGTTGGTGGAACTATTTTAATTCATAAATTTGTCAGCTCGTGGGAACAGGTTGGGTGTTTGAGAAGTGAGCTGAAGAAGGCGGATCGGAGCAGCACCAAGGTGGAGGTCAGGTCACCACCTTACAAGGAGGAAAGTGAGGGAGAGATGGAGTGCTGGGGAGGAATAGGGGGGTATATAAGCAAGGAAGACACCATGACAGGAGTGCAGTTGGCCCCACATCGTCTCTCTAGCATCAACATGGCATCTTGTAAGGTAGGTCGTCCCTTGCTTGTCTGGCCCGTCGTTCCATGGCGTGTACTCACCTAGTTTTGTGTGTGATGGGAGTGAGTGGGACTCGAGAGGGAGGGAAGGAGAGAGGATAGTGTTAAGGAGAGCTATTGCTCACCTGAGTGAGGCATAGACAGAGGGAAGAACGGTACTGTAGATGGGGTAGTATATACACTAAGACTCATGGTTAAAGATATAGCAAAGATGGGGCAGCAGTGCACAGAACCATTACAAAAGAATACTCTAAGAAGTACTAAAATAAGGGAAGGATGGCAAAAAGAAGGTTAGATTAAGGGTACTAACACAATGAAATGAACACAATTGCTATGAAAAATATATAAATAGGAATAAAGAAAATAATCATATTAACAGTTAAAATATAATTTATTAAATAGTTATATCGCATCAGTTATCCCGGTAAGAATAACAAAATGATTAGACTGAAATGTTTAGTTTAAACTCCATTTCTATCGATCAGGAGGCTCAGAGATGCTTGATAACAGCCTCGGGGGAATTTCTATGTCTCTAGAAGTCAGATAAAGCTGGTTTCTAAGAGTCGTACAATTGGAAGGCAGGGAAGCTGGGGACCTCTAGCAGAGAAAGAATTCACCAACTGTATATTCGAGTTAACAGTACTTGAGACTGTCTGACAGTTTAATGAAAAACATAGCTACGTTACTCTGTAATTCTATGTAAATCATTTACGAACAGAAGAAAGAAAAATGAATTACCTTAATTTAATATTTCTATTTTATTTACGCCTAAAAATGTATTCCATTTGTTCTTTGATCAAACTATATATTGTTTAAAAAAGCTAAATTTTTAGTTTAACGAGATCAACGGCTGTTTTGCTTTTGTGGCGTTGAACGCGTTGATCACTCTCGAGAACCACGTAGACAGAATCCGGAACCACGTAGACAGGATCGAGAACCACCTAGACAAGATCGAGAACCACGTAGACTGGATCGAGAACCACCTAGACAGGATCGAGAACCACCTAGGCAAGATCGAGAATCACATAGACAGGATCGAGTACCACATAGACAGGATCCAGAATCACGTAGACAAAATCGAGAACCCAGTAGACAGGATCGAGAACCACATAGAGAGGATCGAGAATCACGTAGATAGAATCCGGAACCACCTAGACAAAATCGAGAACCACGTATGCAGGATAAAGAAACACATAGACAGGATCGAGCACCACGTAGACAGGATCGAGGGCTGTTACACAAAGCCCACATTACACAAAGTGAGCCCAAGGCTCACTTTGCAGCCCATTATCACGATTCGCCACTCCGTAAACAATGCAACTGTTTTGCCTAGCCAGAAACGTACAATCTATCGAGGCCAATGTAGAGAAAACGTCAAAATTACAGTGTTTTGATTTTGACTAATACGTCGCTTTTTTAACGGATTGCTACAACCTGTAGCAACCTGTCCTCACACTTAATGGACCGAAATTTTAGCACGTAATCGACCACAGCGTCTAATTAAATGCAGCTCAATATTGACGTATTTTAGTACTTAAATGGGTTTACAGGTTCGAATGGTTTTGGCTAAGCAAAAGCCACTTCTGATCTGCCTCTTGGTAAACCATGAGGATTGACTGGATGCGGATGAAATGCAGTTCTTAACAGTCATGTGTTTGCCGCATCTTGAGATGAGAGCACCAGTCTCATCTGGGGTGACGCAAGTTCAAGGCTCTCGGGAAGTCTGCTCTGATGCAAGATCAAAATACTCACGGAGTTTGCTGTGTCGCAAGATCAGGACACTCGAAGTGTACTGTGTCGCAAGATCAGGGGCCAGATTCACGAAGCAGTTACGCAAGTACTTACGAACGTATACATCTTTCCTCAATCTTTGACGGCTTTGGTTACATTTCTTAAACAGTTTACAAGCATGAAAACTTCCCAATCAACTGTTGATATTGATATAAACAGCCTCCTGGTGTTTCCGAGCTCATTAGCTGTTTAATAATTGTAAACAAAGCCGCCAAAGATTGAGAAAAAATGTGCAGGTTCGTAAGTATTTGCGTAACTTCTTCGTGAATCTAGCCCCAGGACTCTCATAGAAATTGTCGGCTCGCAAACTCTCAACATTTGCAATCTTTTCCGCCGCCATTTGTGTGTTCATGTAACAAACTCAAAACTGTCTGGAAATATTCTACGATCTCCAGAAAAATTACATTCGTATAGTCTACTGTGTCGATGGCTAACGACGCTGTTAGTCTGTGTTCAAGGGTAGATATACGACACGGCAGCCTTCATCTTGTTGGGCCATAGCAGTATACAAAGAGCTCATGTTGGTATTTAATCGCGTTATTTACGATTAAGCAAACTTTCCAATATCGGATCAAATTTCGTAGTCTTGCGGGTTCCGGAAGCTGTTAGGTCCGACATTTTTTTTTCTGGGTAGTTCTTGCTCCTAATGCATGGTATTAAATTAGGCTAGGCTGGGCTAGGCTTGGCTAGGCTGGGCTGGGCTAGGCTGGGCTAGGCTTGGTTAGGCTAAGTTAGGCTAGGTTAGGGTGGGTTAGGCTGCTTAGAAAAATTATGTGTAACATAAGAATTAATATCTGACAACGAACAAAAATCAGGCATAAAATTCATTAAGTACTTTCGAATTAATCAATACATCTTCAGAAGAATCCTTCCGAAGATGTATTGATTACGTATGGATAATAACATTTAATTCACTTGAACCATCGGAGCCTCGAACCGCTAACAACAAAAACAGCAATCCGCAGACCTACCAACTTGTGGTCTGCGGTTCCAGCCTCCGATGATCCTAGTGAATGAAATGTTTTATCCGCGATGTTGTGGTTACCAATTTATTTAACAAGAACGTGGTGGTTAACTAATCCCTTTATGCTTGCGTGTCACCCCAGGGAAGTGATCTCACGTCTATTGTGTTACCTTTTAATTGGTTCCATAGATCAATCACCCTGTTTCATTAGGATAATTTCTGTACTACAAATGATGAGTCACGGTAACGTGGCTGAAGAGTTGATGACCAAATCACACTCAAGAAAATGCAGAAACGTCGTCGTTTCATCATTTTCTGATGAGTGGTTTGGTCTCCCATTACAGTAATGCTCCAGCCTGACCTTACTGAAGGATGACATGCTCCGCTAATATTCCAGACTGACCATACTGAAAGGCGAGATGGCTCGCTAATGCTTCAGACAATGAGCAATAACTTACAAGATATGAATCACATAATGCTCCAACCGAGTTATTATTACAAAATAATAAAATCAGTGTTTTTTGTAAGGTTCCTTTCGTGATTTTAGAGAAACACCAAAATTCTGAAAACTTTAGAGGACAAAATCTATCGTATCACACCAGATACTGCTCATTAAATAACAGGTTTCGAATGCTTTCTCAACAAAAAAGTTGTAATAATAGCGAATTGCATCCCAAGTAACGAACGTATTAAAATGTGTTTTTTATTGTGGGCGACGATATTAAAACGGCAGAGAAGAACACAAACAAGACCTCTGTCTTCACCTTCCAAGAAGAACCACGGCCTTGGTGTCCGGAAAAACCTACCCCCCTTCTCCAGCCTTTCATTGTCTAATCACAGAGAAGGCATACAAGACCCCCATTTCATGACCCGTCCGAGAAAGGGAAGGATGAATGGGTTGGAGGAGTGGTAGAATAATTAGCGAGAACAGCATATAAATGGCACCACACGAGTCATAAACATCAGCAACCTGAAAAACAGACACGACTTGTAAGGTCAGTTGACCCAGTCACATGACCTAGGCGCAATACGACCACCGTTTTCTCTCGTCACATGGTGCGTCCGTGAAAGGGAAAATGGGAAACATTATATATACATCCATTAACAACTGGTAATAACAGTATTACGATTGTCATTTTTTTCCGATTTTAATAATGATAATTATAATGAGTATTATTATCCTCCCACAGCTGGTTCTCCTCACCCTGGTGGCTGGAGTAGCTCTCGCTGACCCACAGTACAATTACCAACGCCCACCGCCGCCCTCGGGCCTGTACGAGACGCCCGTCGCTCCACCTCCACGCCCACCACCCAGGCCCGCACCTCCACCTCGTTCACGCCCACCACCACCTCAGACCTATAGCCCACCCCCAAAGACCTACAACCCACCCCCACAGGCCTCAAATATCCGCCCACAGACCTATAAGGTAAAACTCACAATAATGTCTTGCTCTGAAGAACTTATTACATGAATTACTAACTTATGAGGGGTTCGGAGTGATGGTTGAGAATGATGGGAAACGAAGCTGGGGTCAGTTTCCTATACGGGATAGGACTTGCATGTGGGAGATAGATAAGAATCTGTATGCAGAGTATGCATGAATCCGTAGGGCTACATGGCATAGATAAGGCCCTGTAGGCCTATATATATATATATATATATATATATATATATATATATATATATATATATATATATATATATATATATATATATATATATATATATATATATACTAGTTGATTTTATACCCGCATTAGGTCAGGTGATAATATAATGAAGGTGAAAAACATGGGGGGATACATAAGGGATAAATGTGAGGTGAAACATAGAGGCTGCAGAAGGCTTATTGGCCCATACGAGACATCTCCTATCTAAATAGGAGATGTAAATATAGATGTAATATATATATATATATATATATATATATATATATATATATATATATATATATATATATATATATATATATATATATATATATATCGGTGTGTGTGTGTGTAAATCACGAAAAACTGCCAAGTGACTATGTCTCAATAAAGAGAAAACAGTCAATTTCCAGAATTATTTTTATGCTGCGTTGATAATATTGAAGGACAATGAGAACCTTAGAAGTTTAACACATAGGTAGCTTGGTAGCCTTATTTGAGAGTATTGAAGAACTAAATGGCAGATATAAAAATCAGGTGAGAACCTAAGAAGCTGAGGCGTATTGAATATAACACGTCAAATGTTTAAAGCGTAACTAAGGTGGTCATGAAAACACGGAACCAAACGTAGCACCACAAGACTTAGAGCAACCTGTCTTCCTCAGTCCCCAGCTACCCCAGGGATGGAGGGGATGCCGTACGACTTCCAGTGGGGCGTTGAGGACCGGGACAGTGGCAACGCCTTCAGCCATGTGGAGAACAGCGACGGTCGTACTACCCAGGGGGAGTACCGCGTCCTCATGCCCGACGGTCGCACTCAGGTGAGTACTTGCGTCCTCATGCCCGACTGTTGCACTCAGGTGAGTACTTGCGTCTTCATGCCCGACGGTTGCACTCAGGTGAGTACTTGCGTCCTCATGCCCGACTGTTGCACTCAGGTGAGTACTTGCGTCCTCATGCCCGACTGTTGCACTCAGGTGAGTACCTGCGTCCTCATGCCCGACGGTCGCACTCAGGTGAGTATCTGCGTCCTCATGCCCGACTGTTGCACTCAGGTGAGTACCTGCGTCTGGATGACAGACATTCGCACTCAGGTGAATACCGCATCCTGATATCCGACGATCGTATTCAAGCGTGTACTTCTGAGTGTTTATATTTTCTTGAGAGTCAAATATCCCACATATTATTTCTTTGATAAAAAAAAAAAGTTTGGCAATGTCGTGAGAAATCAGCCGGATGAAGTTATTGATACGTAAGATTCAGGACCATCATTAAGGCTCATTCGTCAACTGTGCCATTCTCAATCTTGTTCCTAATTGTCTCTTTTTTTCCCCAGGTGGTGAAGTTCTTCGACAACGGCGGTGGATTCAACGCCGAGGTGACCTACGTGTAACAGCTATCTGATTGATCAGCTCTCTGATTGATCAGCTATCTGATTGATCAGTTATCTGATTTCGAACTTCGAAGTGCCTCGGATCCCATAATTCCGATCATTAGAGACCCTCCTTCTGAACACTTGCTGCCGAACATGTATCCTGTTTGCGATAAATTTGTAAACTCCGAAGCACTTCCAAATCGAACGTTCAGAACGCAAGGGCGACCATGATACATGGACAACCGGAGCCAACGAGCTTTCTTTCCTCACTCCAACGACCCTGGAACGACCATTCCTACGAACCAATCATTAAAGTTCCTTTCTCACTTTCTCTGCTCTCTCGTGTACTCTCTCCTCGACCATTCTTATCTCCTCAAATTGTGAAATTTGTAAATATATGCATAGTTGAAACCGTAACAGAATAATTTCTTACAAAAAATATATATTATATTTTCATTATATTTTCTACAGCTCGAATTAGACACTTTTGATGCTTCTTTAAAAAAAAAAAAAACTTGTATAGATTTTCTCATTCAAAGTTTATTAGTGTTAAATCACACACTTACAATGTAAAAATCATAAGAGGTATTCAGGGCTACCGGACCTAAAATCTTCATCTGTTTCAGAACTTGTCTCTTGTTCGACCGTTCTTTCATATTTATATATTAGGTGGCTTATGATGTACTAATACCTGACAAAATATATATTTACAAAACTCTTCAGCGGCAAGAGTTCTACAATAGCAAGTGTTCACGTGTTCTCCACTGGCAAGTGTTCTTCAGCGGCAGGTATTCTTCAGTGGCATCTTTTCTTCAGTAACAAGTGTTTTCTGTCATAAGATTTCAGATAGAAACAAGTATTTTTCAGTGGAAAGTTTTCTACAGCGAAAAAAGTGTTCTTCAACAGCAAGTAGTAATCTTCAGTGGCAAGCGTTCCTCATTCTTATACTTTTTTTTGGTAATCAATAATATTTTTTTTGTAAACCCTAAGAAAAACTTTTATTTCATCTAAGTTGTAAACTTCACCTCTGAATTTTTCTGTCTCTACACTACATCTTATTATACCTTAGCATTTCGAGATTGTACAATACAATACATTGTATGTAATAAAAAAGTCGTATTTGTCAATACCCAAGTCTCTTTGTCCTCCATGTTTAAATGAATTGGTCGGAAGGTGAATATTATAGCAAGTATCATACAGAGTGGAAAACTCTCTCTTGGCCGCTTTGCTGTCCGCTGCAGTGTTGCAGACGCTGGGATTGAATTCATCACTGAAATATATTGTCGAGTGAATTGCCAACACGGCAGCACCGAGCTCCATTTGCCCGATGTTGGAGGAAAGGCGAATGTGGAGAGATATAATAACAGAGCATAAACATTATAACTCATTATGAACTGTAATATTTTAACTTCCAACACAAATTTTTTGTTTAAATCTATTTTGGGTCAAGGTGCAAAAGTCGCTGGAAAAAAATTATGGAGTTTGTCAACCTCCTTCGTGAATTAGAAAAAGGAGACTTGAGTAAAATGTGCATAGTGGTTTCTGTCGAAAATCTGTTGATCTCCCGTTTCTAAACCAGATATTTTTTTCTCATGACATATTCGTTGATCTGTGGTTCTGCCCTTACTATCCATAGGACTAGAATGAACTGAGATTATCCAGGAACTTTTTATTTTTGTCCAGGCTGGTCAATATTCTTATTCCACGAGATGTACAAAATCTTCTTCGTGCTCTTCAAAATTGTTACATTTTGTTATAGGTAAAGCTGCTATTAGGTTCGATAAGACCTGACTTTGATGACGACGATTCAACAATTAATTAGTCAATTGGTTAAAAAAAAGTGTGTGTGTGTGTGTGTGTGTGTGTGTGTGTGTGTGTGTGTGTGTGTGTGTGTGTGTGTGTGTGTGTGTGTGTGTGTGTGTGTGAATATTTTAGTAGTGTTTACCTACCTACTCTCGTTTATAAGTTACATGACAACACAACACTGAGTTAGTTGGAATTCCTACCAACTAACGTTATGGCACACAACACACACACACACAAGACATTTTGTGTGTGTGTGTGTGTGTGTGTGTGTGTGTGTGTGTGTGTGTGTGTGTGTGTGTGTGTGTGTGTGTGTGTGTGTGTATGTGTGTGTTTACATACGCAAACCCGCTAAAGTCACCATTTCACCTCACCACCTTGACGAGCCTGACTCCCCACTTTGCGGCTAGGACAAGATCAGTGCTCAGGCTACGTTGCCACGAATATACGTAACAAATACAACGTAACCTCTAAAATAACAGTACTCGTACAGACTGTAGAGTTTACGTAAAAAAGGTAAACTGTATCGCTTATAAAAATCAAAATTGGATTTATATTGACATGGAAGAAGGACCAGCTGAGAAAATAATCCTAATCACTTCTAGATCATAAAAGTATTATATCAGACCTTATTTTTTTAACATTTGACCTAGCGTTGAATTTCAATCTCAACTGTATATGTCAATTATCTATTTTAGGGGGGGTGGGGGTATCTTCACAGTGTATATTGTGTACATAGTACATATAGCGACTGTGGAAGTATACCATATTGTAGAATTAGTTGAATAAACAATGCAGATCCCTCAGAAAAAAAAATTAGGGCATATTATACACACATGCAATAAATAGCACACATGCACATGCAAGAATTAGGACATATGATGTACCTTTTCAACGTTTCGCAGACGGAACGCATCAGTTCGCATGTGAATATAGCATCGGTATGGGGGCGCGTCTCACAACAGCTAGGCGAATCCAGGTGAGCAAAGCAGATCACTCTCCCACTTTCCCTGTCACAGACAGAGAGGCACGGAAACCCTTCCCATTGTCGACGAACTTCACCACCTGCGTGAGGCAGAGTGCATCAGTGAGTTGAACTTTTAACTGCTATATGTTTATAATTATTATATAAGCCTATATGTTTATAATTATTATATAAGCCTATATGTTTATGATGACCATCTATGGAAATTCGTGACTAGACTCGACCACTCAGATGAACATTAAAACTGAAACTCCTGCATTTTTTGACATATTAGACTGTTTAGGATATGGTAGTCTCAGACTGGTTCACACTATTATGGATAAAAATATTTTTTTGGAATTTTCATTGATGGCATTTTAACGTGAATGTGTCCGTCGGGCATCAGGACGCAAGTACTCACCTGAGTGCGACTGTCAGACGTCAGGACGTTGTACTCACCTGTGTGCGACCGTCGGGTATCAAGACGCAGGTACTCACCTGAGTGCGACCGTCGGGCATGAGGACGCGGTACTCCCCTTGGGTAGTACGACCGTCGCTGTTCTCCGCATGGCTGAAGTCGTTAGCACTCTCCCCGTCCTGGACGACCCACTGGAAGTCGTACGGCATTCCGACCATCTGTAACGCAGACGACTTTAAAACGTCGTTGTTGCACAATTGTACACAAGAATCGTGTGTACACCTCCTCTCTCCTGAGGGTTTTCAGAATACTGGAAAAGATGTTGACCAAACCACACACTAGAAAGTGAAGGGACGACGACGAAGGGACGACTCAATCGACTAGAGAATGGTCCAGGACGGACCGAAACGTCGTCGTCCCTTCACTTTCTAATACGTGGTGACGACGTTTGGTTTGGTCAACATATTTCAGCCACGTTTTTGTGACTCCTCGTCTGCATTGAAAAGATATCATTAATAGAGGCAAATAGAGCAAGTATTACAAACAAAAATTACATATTTCCTTATCTAACGATAATTTCTTATTGTGTTCTAAACCTGTAATTCTTCACAGTTTTTTCTTCTTTGTTAGGGGTCCTAATAAGTCTTAATAAGGCTTTTCCCTACCTTAACTCCACTTTAAAATGGAGTCAATAGTTATGGCGAAGAAAAATGTTTTATAACAAGAAAATGCTGAGAACCAGACGTAAGGCTTATAGTGAGGTTTCAAATAAGGGAAATGTTACGCTTAAACAACGCAAGTGTTCATATGAACGTTTCCAACATGGCAACTGGCTACCTACGACCATTACTAATCCTCCCTAGCCGTCAACCATGTTTTCTCTGCCCCAGGGAAAACATGGTTGACGGCTAGGGAAGAATAGTAATGGTTTCACCTCCTGCTAGAATTCCTTCCCTCAACCCACGGAGGAAATGTTTAGATGTTTATCTCTCAGAATGTTTGGTAATATGTTTATGGTTTGTGATGTGTGTCTATGTATGTATTAACACGATGTACTGAACGGGGTGAGAATAGCTTGAGCTACCTCATCCCTTTGTGTCTATTTTACCTCAATAAACTGGTAAAATAGACACAAAGGGATGAGGTAGCAATATTCTCTTTTCAATTTCAATATTTTCAATTTCAACCCACGGGAAACTCCCCACCAATACTGTGCTTACTTACAGGCGCTGACGGTGCTTGGTACAGGCCAGACGGCTCAGATGGCTCTACAGGTGGTGCACTGTATAAAGCAGCTGGAGCTTGGTACAGAGCAGCTGGTTCAGTGGTAGATGGCGGAGGTGGTGCTTCGTATAGAGCAGCTGGTTCAGTGGTAGATGGCGGAGGTGGTGCTTCGTATAGAGCAGCTGGTTCAGTGGTAGATGGCGGAGGTGGTGCTTCGTATAGAGCAGCTGGTTCAGTGGTAGATGGCGGAGGGTGCTTCGTATAGAGCAGCTGGTTCAGTGGTAGATGGCGCAGCTGGTGCTTCGTATAGAGCAGCTGGTTCAGTGGTAGATGACGCAGCTGGTGCTTCGTACAGAGCAGCTGGTTCAGTGGTAGATGGCGCAGGTGGAGCTTCGTACAGAGCAGCTGGTTCAGTGGTAGATGGTGCAGCTGGTGCTTCGTACAGAGCAGCTGGTTCAGTGGTAGATGGCGCAGCTGGTGCTTCGTACAGAGCAGCTGGTTCAGTGGTAGATGGCGCAGCTGGTGCTTCGTACAGAGCAGCTGGTTCAGTGGTAGATGGTGCAGCTGGTGCTTCGTACAGAGCAGCTGGTTCAGTGGTAGATGGCGCAGCTGGTGCTTCGTACAGAGCAGCTGGTTCAGTGGTAGATGGCGCAGGTGGAGCTTCGTACAGAGCAGCTGGTTCAGTGGTAGATGGCGCAGCTGGTGCTTCGTACAGAGCAGCTGGTTCAGTGACAGCTGGTTCAGTGGCAGCTGGTTCAGTGGTGGTTGGCGCAGGTGGAGCTTCGTACAGAGCAGCTGGTTCAGTGGTGGATGGCGCAGGTGGAGCTTCGTACAGAGCAGCTGGTTCAGTGGCAGCTGGTTCAGTGGCAGCTGGTTCAGTGGCAGCTGGTTCAGTGGCAGCTGGTTCAGTGGCAGCTGGTTCAGTGACAGCTGGTTCAGTGGCAGCTGGTTCAGTGGCAGCTGGCACAAACGGAATTTCATACAATCTCGAAGGTACCAGTGGTTCGACCGGCGCTTCATACAAGTTCGAAGACAGAGAGCCGAGACCGGGGGCAAGTTCCTCCGGGGCTTGGGAGAGGTCCGAGTGAGGGCCAGAGTCCTGAGGAAGGGGCAGCTTCGCGGCAGACGCGACGCTGGTCGTGGCCACAGCCCCCAACAACATCAACAAACACACCTGGAAGAACAATACTGGGTCAAGGTGGGTGGAGAGGGAGGATGGAAGGTCTCACTCTACTATCATGGGTCAAGGTGGGTGCAGAGGGAGGATGGAAGGTCTCACTCTACTATCATGGGTCAAGGTGGGTGGAGAGGGAGGATGGAAGGTCTCACTCTACTATCATGGGTCAAGGTGGGTGCAGAGGGAGGATGGAAGGTCTCACTCTACTATCATGGGTCAAGGTGGGTGGAGAGGGAGGATGGAAGGTCTCACTCTACTATCATGGGTCAAGGTGGGTGCAGAGGGAGGATGGAAGGTCTCACTCTACTATCATGGGTCAAGGTGGGTGGAGAGGGAGGATGGAAGGTCTCACTCTACTATCATGGGTCAAGGTGGGTGCAGAGGGAGGATGGAAGGTCTCATTCTACTATCATGGGTCAAGGTGGGTGCATAGGGAGGATGGAAGGTCTCACTCTACTATCATGGGTCAAGGTGGGTGCAGAGGGAGGATGGAAGGTCTCACTCTACTATCATGGGTCAAGGTGGGTGGAGAGGGAGGATGGAAGGTCTTCACTCTACTATCATGGGTCAAGGTGGGTGCAGAGGGAGGATGGAAGGTCTCACTCTACTATCATGGGTCAAGGTGGGTGCAGAGGGAGGATGGAAGGTCTCATTCTACTATCATGGGTCAAGGTGGGTGCAGAGGGAGGATGGAAGGTCTCATTCTACTATCATGGGTCAAGGTGGGTGCAGAGGGAGGATGGAAGGTCTCACTCTACTATCATGGGTCAAGGTGGGTGCAGAGGGAGGATGGAAGGTCTCACTCTACTATCATGGACACACCGTAAACATCAGGGGTCAACAAGAACAAATCATGAACATTAATAAGGAGGAGATGTGGCGATGTTCTCTGCTCTACGATGTGGTGTAGTCTTCAGGGGCACGTCCGGCGAACAGTAGTCTGTCTCTCCCCCATACCCTAGGGGTACGTCTGGCGTACTATAGCACACTCCGCCAGGGGAAACGTCTGGCGAACCAGAGCTCAACGTATTACATACACTAAAGCAGGGCAGGTTTGTTATTCACTGTGGGAAGTATACTTATTGCAATAGATAGCAGAGTATAGTAAGGACAGACAGCTTCTAACCCTTGAGAGGTCATCAGTTTACATTAATAAAGAAGTAAAGAAAGATTTATATATATATATATATATATATATAATATATATATATATATATATATATATATATATATATATATATATATATATATATATATATATATATATAGAGAGACAAACCTCAGGAGACATAATGATGGAATGGTGGCTGCTGCCTAACTGCTGTTCGAGGCTCTATCCTCTCGCATATATATACATATATCCCCTGGAAACTTGACCTTGCAACACTTTCTCAACCTCACATATTTAATAGTGCCCGCTATCACGTCTCTTTTTTTTTGTAAATTGCGTTCAGCGTGAAGCAAATTTTGTAAATATTGTTCAACTGTGAGGCTTCTTATCATGCTCGCTTGCTTTTGTTCAATAGGGACTTGTTATAGTGATAGGTGTGACGTGGTTAGATAGTCCTAAGGTCGTTCAGTGGCTCTGTTGCAAAAGATCTGCATGTTTTTTTTTCCCCCCTCGGGTGGAGGCGATGGGGGGGATAAACTTGATTTTGATGATTCAATGTTGTTTTCCAGCTTGAGGACCTTGAAGTTACTCTCACTGTCACTGTAGTTATCTGTGGTATTTTCTTTCACTATCTACATGATTAAAACTGCATCCATCTCCGCTATTTATTGTTCGTACGACTATTTTACTATTACTGTTTTATGGCTGCTGCTGCTCATGTCACGGGAACACTCACTGTCTATATGACAGCTACTGTTAGTATCACCGTCATTTACTGTTAGTATGACGGTAGACCACATTGACAGTTTCTGAGCACAACATTTATACACCTGCACGCCTCAGCAGGTGTGGCTGTGAGCAGTGCTGATGATCCGTAATTATTATTTCCTCCCCTCTGACTTCTATAGTATATGTCAGTATACTGCATTCTGACCTTCCCTGGAACAGACTCCTGGGGCACGTTAAAGGTCAGTTGGAACATTGTCTTGACCCAACTTGTGGGTCATACGCCTATAAAACATGGTATATGTCAGTTGTTATAAGCATGACCTTTCTTGAGCCGACTCATGTGTTGTTTCAAGTTAACCAAGTGGTATATGATAATATATGATGATCACACACACACACTTACACACACATGGGGTTTGGGGCCTCGTGGCTGAGTGGACAGCGCTCGGGGGTCGTAGTTCTAAGGGCCCGGGTTCGATTTCCAGCCGAGGCGGAAATAATGGGCCGAGTTTCTTTCACGCTGATGCTCTGATCACGTAGCAGTAAATACGTACCTGGGAGTTATACAGCTGCTACGGGCTGCTTCCTGAGGATGTGTGTGTGTGTGTGTGTGTGTGTGTGTGTGTGTGTGTGTGTGTGTGTGTGTGTGTGTGTGTGTGTGTGCGTGTGTGTGTGTGTGTGTGTGTGTGTGTGTGTGTGTGTGTGTGTGTGTGTGTGTGTGTGTGTGTGTGTGTGTGTGTGTGTGTGTGTGTGTGTTAGAAATATATGTATTAGATATAATAGAGGAAATTACACTGGATAGAAAGGCAGGGTCCAAAAGCTAATTGCTTGATTCTGCAAGCACAAATAGTAAATACACACACACACACACACAGTGCAAACACCAGGAAAACTACTGCCTCGTTACTAGGCCTACCTAACGGGGAAGATAGGCAAGTGTGGGAAGGAAAGAGTTGAATACAACAATTATTCCTTTCGGAAGTATTTGGAATATTTCCTTTCCGGAAGTATTCCCTTCGACCTGTTTCTTTCCTTTCCAGGAAAGTGTTTCCAGGACGTGTTCCGCCTGGCATTACATGGCGGCGGCACACTTTTCAGTTGTTTTTAATCACTCACTTTTAGGGCATGGCCCGAGGCACAGAAAGGGAGTGGGAACCTATCAGAACATTTGAAATCCTTAGGTAAAAATGCTTTAATGCAGGATCAATTTATGTCGTAAGACGAAGATTATCAAGTTATTTTGACGGGACATTAATGTAAAGATCATGAACCGATTTTAGTGCTAATTAAATGACATTTCCCCTGCCATCAGCTTCTGTTGTATTTGGAATATTTGGAGGGCAATGTACCACCCCCTCTCTATTACCTATCTCACAGGACCTGTGAAGCAAATGTACCCTCGTTTGTGAGGGCAGTGTACCACCCCCTGTGAGGCAAATGTACCCTCACTTGTGAGGGCAGTGTACCACCCCCTGTGAGGCAAATGTACCCTCACTTGTGAGGACAGTGTACCACCCCCTGTGAGGCAAATGTACCCTCGCTTGTGAGGACAGTGTACCACCCCTTGTGAGGCAAATGTACCCTCACTTGTGAGGGCAGTGTACCACCCCCTGTGAGGCAAATGTACCCTCGCTTGTGAGGACAGTGTACCACCCCCTGTGAGGCAAATGTACCCTCGCTTGTGAGGACAGTGTACCACCCCCTGTGAGGCAAATGTACCCCCGTTTGTGAGGGCAGTGTACCACCCCCTGTGAGGCAAATGTACCCTCACTTGTGAGGGCAGTGTACCCCCCCCTGTGAGGCAAATGTACCCTCGCTTGTGAGGACAGTGTACCACCCCCTGTGAGGCAAATGTACCCTCGTTTGTGAGGGCAGTGTACCACCCCCTGTGAGGCAAATGTACCCTCACTTGTGAGGACAGTGTACCACCCCCTGTGAGGCAAATGTACCCTCGCTTGTGCGGACAGTGTACCACCCCCTGTGAGGCAAATGTACCCTCGTTTGTGAGGGCAGTGTACCCCCGCTAAACACACACCGAAACTACGACGTTGGTACAACGTTTGAACAAGGTTTAACACTTCCTAACCAGTTATAACAACCAATATAGCAAGTTGTAACAACGTTCTAATACGTCATAAACACGTTAAGCCAAGATATAACAACTTTATTACAAGTTGTAACAAGCGGAAAATAGAGACAGTTTCGGTTTGTGTTTCCAGGGCCACCCCCTGTGAGGCAAATGTACCCTCACTTGTGAGGGCAGTGTACCACCCCCTGTGAGGCAAATGTACCCTCGCTTGTGAGGGCAGTGTACCCCCCCCTGTGAGGCAAATGTACCCTCGCTTGTGAGGGCAGTGTACCACCCCCTGTGAGGCAAATGTACCCTCACTTGTGAGGGCAGTGTACCACCCCCCTGTGAGGCAAATGTACCCTCACTTGTGAGGGCAGTGTACCACCCCCTGTGAGGCAAATGTATCCTCACTTGTGAGGACAGTGTACCACCCCCCTGTGAGGCAAATGTACCCTCGCTTGTGAGGACAGTGTACCACCCCCTGTGAGGCAAATGTACCCTCGTTTGTGAGGGCAGTGTACCACCCCCTGTGAGGCAAATGTACCCTCACTTGTGAGGGCAGTGTACCACCCCCTGTGAGGCAAATGTACCCTCGCTTGTGAGGGCAGTGTACCACCCCCTGTGAGGCAAATGTACCCTCGCTTGTGAGGGCAGTGTACCACCCCCTGTGAGGCAAATGTACCCTCACTTGTGAGGGCAGTGTACCACCCCCCTGTGAGGCAAATGTACCCTCACTTGTGAGGGCAGTGTACCACCCCCTGTGAGGCAAATGTATCCTCACTTGTGAGGACAGTGTACCACCCCCCTGTGAGGCAAATGTACCCTCACTTGTGAGGGCAGTGTACCACCCCCTGTGAGGCAAATGTATCCTCACTTGTGAGGACAGTGTACCACCCCCCTGTGAGGCAAATGTACCCTCGCTTGTGAGGGCAGTGTACCACCCCCTGTGAGGCAAATGTACCCTCACTTGTGAGGACAGTGTACCACCCCCTGTGAGGCAAATGTACCCTCACTTGTGAGGACAGTGTACCACCCCCTGTGAGGCAAATGTACCCTCACTTGTGAGGGCAGTGTACCACCCCCTGTGAGGCAAGCGTATTTCCCCCGTCTGAAAAGGGAATGTACCACCACAAGTGAAGGGGAGACACCCCTCACCTGTGAGGGGAAGAGACACCCCCTCACCTGTGAGGGGAAGAGACACCCCCTCACCTGTGACGGGAAGAGACACCCCGTCACCTGTGAGGGGAAGAGACACCCCCTCACCTGTGAGGGGAAGAGACACCCCCTCACCTGTGAGGGGAAGAGACACCCCCTCACCTGTGAGGGGAAGAGACACCCCCTCACCTGTGAGGGGAAGAGACACCCCCTCACCTGTGAGGGGAAGAGACACCCCCTCACCTGTGAGGGGAAGAGACACCCCCTCACCTGTGAGGGGAAGAGACACCCCCTCACCTGTGAGGGGAAGAGACACCCCCTCACCTGTGAGGGGAAGAGACACCCCCTCACCTGTGAGGAGAAGAGACACCCCCTCACCTGTGACGGGAAAGACACCCCCTCACCTGTGAGGGGAAAGACACCCCCTCACCTGTGAGGGGAAGAGACACCCCCTCACCTGTGAGGGGAAGAGACACCCCCTCACCTGTGAGGTGAAGAGACACCCCCTCACCTGTGAGGGGAAGAGACACCCCCTCACCTGTGAGGGGAAGAGACACCCCCTCACCTGTGAGGGGAAGAGACACCCCCTCACCTGTGAGGGGAAGAGACACCCCCTCACCTGTGAGGGGAAGAGACACCCCCTCACCTGTGAGGGGAAGTGCCAACCCAAAAAAAGAACAAAAACAACAAACTCTGACAGTATCCACCACCTCCGCGCCTCACACATCAAGGGCAGGGCACTTGTGGGTGCTCCACAAACGTCGTCCACTAAGCTCATATGAAGTGAAAACCAGATTAGCTCGTAAAGGTTAAATGTTTGTTTATTACTTGAACGAGTCCGTTTTCTTTAGTTAAGTCTATTCTTGTCCTCTTGAATGTTGGACTTATTTGCTGTCTTCTGATTATTATATGTAGGAATATGATATCAAAAATTTAAATATACAAAAATAAAAACAAAATTCAAACGCTTAAAATTTTTTAACGTCAATAAAAATAGCTGTGAAGTATAAGGACAACGAAAATATCCGTCAACATACGTAAGACTCACTACTTACCTGAATCTAAAAAACACAGTCATTGAGTAGAAGGCTTGAGGTTATCTTGAGATAATTTCGGGGCTTTTTAGTGTCCCGCGGCCCGATCCTCGACCAGGCCTCCACCCCCAGGAAGCAGTCCGTGACAGCTGGCTAACACCCAGGTACCTATTTAACTGCTAGGTAACAGGGGCATAGGGTGAAAGAAACTCTGCCCATTGTTT